ACACGCGCACACGCGCACACGCGCCAACGCGCACACGCGCACACGCGCACACGCGCACACCCGCGCACGCTTGCGCACACCCGCGCACACCCGCTCACATGCGCGCACACCTGCGGACACCCGCGCACACCCGCGCACGCCTGCGCACACCCGCGCACACCCGCTCACATCCGCGCACACCCGCGCACACCCGCGCACACCCGCACACACCCGCACACACCCGCACCCACCCGCACACACGCGTACACACCCGCACACACCCGCGCACGCCTGCGCACACCCGCGCACGCCCGCGCACACACCTGCGCACACCCGCGCACACCCGCGCACACCCGCGCGCACCCGCGCACACCCGCGCACACCCGCGTACACCCGCGCACAACCGCGCCTACCCGCGCACCCCCGCACACACCTACACACATCCGCACACACGCGCACACGCCTGCGCACACCCACACACACCCGCGCACACCCGCGCACACCCGCACACACGCGCACACACCTGCGCACACCCACACACACCCGCGCACACCCGCGCACACCCGCACACACGCGCACACACAGCACGCAGCCGCACACACGCACACCCGCACACACGCACACCCGCACACACCCACACTCGCACACATGCACACATGCACACAGGGCACACACGCACACCCACACGCACACGCACACACGCACACGCACACACGCACACTCGCACACACACACACACACACACACACGCACACACACACACACACCCGCACACAACACCACACGAACACACACGCACGCACACACACGCACACACGCACACACACACACACACACACGCACACACGCACACACACACACACACGCACACTTCCACACACCCGCACACCCACTCAACAACACAGCCACAGCCACAGCCACACCCACGCCCATACCCACAACACACAAACCAGACACACACGACACACAAACCGCACACACTCGACACACACACACACACACAACACGCACAACACACACCACACACCACACACACACAACACACCCAACACACACAGCACACACACACAGCACACAACACACACAACGCACACCACACACAAACACAACAGCACACACACACACAACACACATCATGCACACACAACATACACGACATGCATACAACACACGCAACACACACAACACACCCATTACACAACACAAACACACACGACACACTCAAAGCACTCATACATCCACACACCATAAATTTACACAACCACACAAACACACGCAAACACACAATCACACAAATACACACACAAATGCACAAACACACACACACCTGCACAAATACACAAACACACAAAACACAAAGACACAAAGACACGAACACACCAACACACAAATACACAAATATACCAGCACACAACGCACAATCACACTAACACACAAACACAAACACACAAACAAACACACACACACACACACGCCCGAAAAAACACACAAATCCGCAAACACACAAACACCCAAACACGCAACACAAACAAACACAACACAAAACACACACACAAACACACAAACACACACAAACACACTTACAATCACAAACACACAAACACACAACCACACAACCAGAGAAACACACCAACACACAAACACACAAACACAAAGACACCACCACACAAACACACACACAAACACAAACGCACAAACGCACAACCCCACCCGCACCCGCACCCGCACTGGCACCCGCGCCCGCACACGCACCCGCACCCGCACACGCATCCACACGTACACGCACACGCACACGCGCACAGACACACACACACACACACCACACACACACACGCACACACACACACACACACACACGCACACACACACACACGCACACACACACACACACACGCACACGCAAACGCACACGCACACGCCCACTCCCACGCCCACGCCCACACACACGCTCACGCACACGCACCCGCACACGCACACGCGCACGCACACGCACACGCGTACACACACACACACACGCACACATACACACACACACACACACACACTCACGCACACAAACACACATGTATGCACCCGACACGGAGGGGAGAAGATTGGACGCAAATGGGGGCTACCCTCCCTCCGCGGGCACACGGCCTGCTCTCCTCCCTCTCCTCCTGCGGACGCCTCCCAAGCATCATCCCAATTGGCTCCCTCCTCCTCCTTCTCTCCTCCTCGTTCTCCTCCTCCTCCTCCTCCTGCAAGCGTCCTCAGCCGGTCCGTCATCAACCATCCCTCGGCTCAGGCTGCCGAGGGCTGCGGCGTTCCCTCCCGCCCGCGTGCCGCCCGAGCACTTGGCAGGGGTGGCGCAGCGGCCGCGCGCCGGCGCACGCGAGATCCGCTGGAATCCGCTGTGGTCACGAGCTCAGCTAAGAGAGGCCTCCTCGACAGGGTGCGAGTAGATGGGGTCAAAGGATCGCGCCGCATCGCCAATGTATCGCCGATGTATCGGCGATGCATCGGCGACGTCGGCAATCGGCGACGTCGGCGGGCGTGGGAAAACACGGGCTCCACATCGAGCCGCATCGTCGATGCACCGGCGACGCGGCGCGATCCTTTGACCCAATGCACTCGGACCTCATCTAGGAGGCCTAGAGCTGAGGAAGGGTGCCTGCTGGTCCACCACGGAGGCTGGCTTCCCGCCTGACGATGCTCTCCTCTCGGGCTACCGTGGCCCTCGAGGGACCCTTCCAGTCGGGGAGCATGCCCTTCCTAAAACCGCGCCGGTGGAGAACGTAGACGGGGACTGGGGAGGAGTGAGGCAGGGGGTCGCCAGAAGTCCCGACCCTTTACCCAGGGACGACTCGTCGTCCTGAATCGTCATCTGGCAGTCCCACGGCCCGGCGAGGGCCCCCAGAGGCCTAAAACGCACCAACACCTGTCTTGATGTTGACAACTCGCTGATTGACCCTGGAGAAGCGGAAAGAAAGATACCGACATACCGCTACAAGGCCCCCCCTCCCAACGTGGCAAATCCTGAACCTAACCTGGCCCAGGCCCTGTCGACACTGCACCTAACCTGACCCATTCAAGCTAACGTGGCCAACGGCTCGGCGACGCTGGTGTGTCACGCGCGCGCTGTAGCAAATGATGCACCAGAATGAGGCGACACAGCGACATGCAGTGCAAGAGTGCCAACTACACCACTAATCCCACTTCGTCTCCAATGAAGAATGTGGCCAGCGCTGAAGCGAGTGTAACCTTCGCAATCATGGATGTGGCTGGCGCTGAGGCGAGAGCAACATTCTCAATCATGGATGTGGCTGGCGCTGAGGCGAGAGCAACATTCGCAAGCATGGACGTGGCTGGGCAACCCTCGAAAGCCACTTTCCCAGTCGTGACAATGTTGCTGGCGCCGAGGCGAGAGCAACACTCTCAACCATGGATGTGGCTGGCGCTGAGGCGAAAGCCACGTTCGCAATCACGGATGTGGCTGGCGCTGAGGCGACGGCAGCCGTCGTAGTCGTGGATGTGTCTGGCGCTGCGGCGAGAGTGACGTGCGCAACAACGGATGTGGCGGGCACTCTGGCGATGTCAACGTTCTCGATCATTGATGTGGCCGGCGCTGATGCGAAAGCAACATTCGCAGTCATGGATGTGGCCTGCGCTGCGGCGAAATCAACGTTCGCAATTATGGCTGCGGCCAGGGTTAAGGCCAACACAAGGTCGATATAGTGGATGTGTCCACTGGTGACATTTTCAATCAGATATTTGGATGGCGTCAAGGCCAGAAAGATATTCTCAATGAAGGAAGTCGCCAGCGGCTAAGCGACAGCAGCATTCTCAATCAGAGATGTGGCCCACGCACTGGCGAGAACAGCACGCTTACTGATGGATGTCGCCAGCGCGCAGGCGGCAAGAACATGTTCAATCAGAGATGTGACCCACGCACAAGCCAGAGCATCATTCTGAGACAAGCGTTAGGGGGGAGGGTTGTACTCCTCGGACCTCTCCCGTGGTACCGCCTGACCAAAATCCCGAAGAGAATCCAGCCTTGGCGACGAGGGCTCCCCAAGACGAGCAGCGGTAATTTCCGGCACCTCCTCCTCCCCTGACTCCCTCCTCCATCCCATCGACGGCCCGCGACCTGGGCTCCTGGGCGCGACCCCCGGGGAGCCACTGGCTGCGAGGGGGGACGCCAGGGGGGGCCAGCTCCTCCTCCTCCTCCTCCTCCTCCCCTCCTCCTCCTCCTCCTCCTCCTCCTCCTCCTCCTCCTCCTCCTCCTCCTCCCTCCTCCTCCTCCTCCTCCTCCTCCTCCTCCTCCTCCTCCTCCTCCTCCTCCCAGGAGGGGAAACATCGACTTGGAATCGGCGATGCATCGCCAATAGAGCGGCGAAGGGCGCCCGACGGCGAATTCGCATGCTCCTGGGCGGGCTGGAATATAGGGCTCCTATCGACGATACAGGTGGGGGCCAGTCCACAATAAACCGTCCACAAGAAACCCAACCCCGAGATCCCAGGACGCCCACCGATGTTTGTCAACTCTGCCACGATCCTCCCGATACGTGCGCGGGCAATGTGGGCGCGCGGTTACGTGGTCTTTTGTTGTGCCTGGTTCTGCTCCCTGGTGGTGTTGGTGTCGCTCTTCCTCATTCCGAATGCAGGCCGCTGCCCTTGCCTGTTGTCTAGGTCCTCGTCACGACGGCCCTCGTCCCGGCAAAGCTGGCGCTGCCAGACTGCATCCCAGTCCATCTCAACGCCACGGTGCAAACAAAGTCGACGGATGTCATGGCGGAAGTATCCCAAGTCGGCGAGGAACTCCTTGCCGAAATTGTCCCGCCCGATTCCCGCCCCTTGTCTCTTCCGCCATGCTGGTCGCATATGTTGTTCCATCCCTCAACGAAGAAGGCCCCGCCCTCCCGCCTCAGCTGGTTGACTATCTGGCCAGGTCTCCCAAGCGTTGGTCCAGTAGTTCCATGTTCTGTCCCCCTTGATGGACCGGCTGGGCTTCGCATGCATGCAATCACTGGGGCCGTTCTCATCTACGTAACCACGGTCGGAACGGGGGTGTCGGTCTCCTCCTGGAGCTGCACTGGCCGCGTGGGCACAGCCTGCGGTAGGACAGGAAGCTCCTGCTCCTTGGCCCAGGCGCTGCTGTGGGAGGTCCTGGGGCTGGCAGGGTGCCCAAGGTATTCGCGCGCGGGCGTCCTAAGAAACTTCTGCGCCTGTCCATCGTCAGGGCCATCCGCCGCCGCGCCTGGTTCGTTTGGGGGGCTGCCGCTGGGACGGTCGCTGGTGGTAGGTCCGCATGCGTCTGTATTACTGCTCCCTTGCCTGTTGGGGACCGATCATCCTGTGGAGGTTGGGTGGGCGCGTGGGCAGGTTCCTGTGTTTCTTAGCTGCCTGGCGCGGCCTGGGTGAGGTCTGCCGTGCCTGGGCTTGCCCTAGGGTCTGCCTGGTGCTCGGTGACCCTGTGCCCCAGGGGATTAATTTTATTAATCCCCTGGGGTAATAAAATTCGGGGTCCAAGAGGGATAATCAACGCTTTCCCGGAGATCTCAACATAACGATGCGGATGTTGACGATGATGACGATGATCAAGATGATCCTGAAGTTTCAGAAGACGAGCCCTTATAAAGTCAGCGGTATGCCGTTCGAATCCGGGCCGTCTGCGTCCTGCGGACTGCCTTCGCGGTGGTCGGGCGAGGAGGAGGATGAGGAGGATGAGGAGGAGGACGAGGAGGAGGAGGAGAAGGAGGAGGAGGGGGAGGTGGAGGTGGAGGAGGCGGAAGATGAGAAGGAGGAGGAGGAGGAAGAGCAGGAAGAGGAGGAGGAGGAGGAGGAGGAGGAGGTCGAGGAATAGTAGTCATGGAGTCATGGGTCCACTAAATGTACGGTGCACGCCGCACGCAAGCGGGCCGCCAGGGCAAGCAACCGGCACCCCTAGCCTCCCACCTACGGGAGGAAGCGGGCCCGCAGGCGCGCGCACCGACGAACAGGGAACAGGCAGCCACCTCGTCGCCCAGCGACTTGCCCCCAGCCGAAGGGGCGTGGTGCGTAGGGGGCAGTCGATTGACCTGGTCACTGCGAGGTATTTCCCGATTGGCAAACCAGCCCGATCAGCTGGCATGCGCAACTGGGTTTTTCCCCCAGGGCCGGCGGGCACAAGGCCACCATGGGACCTACGGGCCACATGGCCCCGCCTCCCAACCAAATGCGCATTCGCCCGAGCCTGGTACCCACCTCCAAGTCACGGAGCGTGGCTAGCGCCGCTGCCACGGGCAAACTGCCACGTAGCTGGTTCCAAAAGGCGCGAGCCGGCTTAGCAGCCCCCAGTCGCCGCATGCAGTCGACTCTGACGGTGTGCCCCGAGGAGTGGCGCTGACACCATGAGAGCAGGTGCCAGGCCCCCACCTCCGGGGCAGGAGGAGGAGAAGGAGGAGGAGGAGAAGGAGGAGGGGGAAGAGAGGAGGAGGAGGAGAAGGAGGAGGAGGAGGAGGAGGAGGAGGAGGAGGAGGAGGGAGGAGGAGGAGGAGGAAAGGAGGGGGGGAGAGGAGGAGGAGGAGGAGGAGGAGGAGGAGGAGGAGGAGCAGGAGGCGGAGGAGGAGGAGGAGGGAGAGGAAGGAGGAGGAGGACGAGGAGGAGGAGCAGGAGAAGGAGGAGGAGGAGGAGGAGTAGGAGGCGGAGGAGGAGGAGGCGGAGGAGGAGGAAAGGGAGGAGGAGGAGTAGGAGGCGGAGGAGGATGAGGAAAGGGGAGGAGGAGGAGGAGGAGGAGGAGAGGAGGAGGAGGAGGAGGAGGAGGGGAGGAGGAGGAGGAGGCGGAGAGGAGGAGGAAAGGTAGGAGGAGGAGGAGGAGGAGGAGGAGGAGGAGGGGCGGAGAGGAGGAAAGGGAGGAGGAGGAGGAGGAGGAGGAGGAGGAGGAGGAGGAGGAGGGGAGGAAGGAGGAGGAGAGGAAAGGGAGGGGGGAGGAGGAGGAGGAGAGGAGGCGGAGGAGGGGAGGAGGAGGAGGAGGAGGAGGAGGAGGAGGAGGCGGAGGAGGAGGAAGACGAGGAATCGACATGCGGTGCAGCTGGCGATCGGCGCTCGCTGGCAAGGGCCTGTGGGCGGGCAGCGGCCTCTCGTTGCTGCCTGCCTCTGCAGCTGGGCGCTGCGGGGGGCTGGGCCAGGCGTTGTGGGGGGGGGGGGGGGGGCGACGCACACATAGTACAGTCGGGGCGCTGACCTAAGGAACCCCAAATAAGGAACGAGGCCCCTCTTTTCCATAAGTCAACCTTCGGCTTCCTGTCGAAAGCATAAGGAACACCTGAGGCAAGCTGTGAAACACTTAAGGAACGCGAAGCCCCTCCCCAACGAAAAGGGTTCCTTCTTCAAGGCCCCGACTGTACTACCGTTGTGGATGCCATGGCAATGGACACTCTAATAATCCCATCATTGAATTCAGCATGTGTTCTAAATGTAGGAACCTGTCCTGACAATGTTTCAAGCCTGCTTTTTTTACATGCTTAAAACAGGTTTGAAACATGTTTTAGACATCTGGGAATTATTTGGCAGCATGCTTCCTCTCCATTGACCGTCCTCCACAATACTACCGGCGTTTTCGGGGGGAGCAAGAACCCAAATAGAAAGCCTAGAAGATGACGCAAAAGGCCCCCCCCGCGCTCCCAATGTCAATGTTCAGATAGAAGGGAGCAGGCCGCGGTTTGTAAGTGTGGGCGTTTCTTTTCGATACGACTCGCACTCCCTCGCGTCGACCGCCCTGGACGTTGAAGTTTGGGCCGGAGGGTTGGACCCGCTTCAACGCGCATTCAAAATGGGCCTTTTTCTCAGAAACCACTGTCTTTTTTCTGTGTGACGCAGATATTGTGCACCTTTTGGGCCACAAAGGGGCCCCCGAAGTGAACGAACGGTGGCCTTTCTCCACCCCTGCCACTTTCAGACGTCTGGCGTCTCGATGTTTTCTCAACCTTCCGTTGTTGGCCTGTCGTTTCAGTAGAGCACTGTGGTCGCGTCCTCATTTTTCCTACCTCCCCCCCGCCTCCCCCCTTGGGGTCTGCAATCTGCGAAACAGTCCCCACTTTGAGGGGCTGCTGGAGGGGGGCCAGCACAATGTCGCCCCACCCAGATTCATATTAGACCTCGCTACCCCTGGGTGGCTGCCTGCGATCTGCGAAGCTTTCGCCACTCTCGACATTTGCTGGGGGGGGCCAGCACAGAAAGGGCCCCACCCGGACTCAGATCAGACCTCGCCATCCTTGGGGAGCTGCGAGCCTCGAAACGGTCGCCACATTCGAGAGCTGCGGGGGGGGCCAGCGGAGTGTCGCCCCACTCCGATTCAGAAAAGACCTCGCCGTCCCTAGGGGGATGCGATCTGCAAAACTCTCGCAACTTTCGAAAGTTGCTATGGGGGGGGCCAGCATAATGTCGCCATACCCAGGTTCAGGTTCGACCCCCCCCCCTTGTGGGCTGCGGTTTGCGAAACTCGCGCCGCTTTCGAAGGCTGCTTGGAGGGGGGGGGGGCGTCGCCCCACCTAGATTCAGATTGGACCTCGCCGTCCATGGGCGGCTGCGATCTGCAAAACTGTCGCGACTGCCGAGGGTCGCTGGAGGGGACAACACACCGTCGCCCCACCCAGATTCAAATTAGACCTCGCCGTTCCAAGGTGGCTGCGATCTGCGAGACTGTCGCCACTTTCGAGGGCGGCTGGAGGGGCCACCGCAATGCCGCCAAACCCGTCGCCATCCCTAAGGCGCTGCGATCTGCGAAAATGGCGCCACTTTCGAAGGCTGCTGGCGGGGGGGGGGGCAGCACAGTGTCGCCCCTCTCCGACTCAGACTAAACCTCGCCATCCCTGGGGGCTGCGATCTACGAAACTGTCGCCACCTTCGAAGGCTGGGGGGGCAGCACACTGACGCCAAACGCGGACCTAAGTTCGACCTCGCCATCCCTGGGGGCTGCGATCTGCGAAATAGCCGCCAGGCAGCACAGTGACGCCGTACGCGGACTAAGAGTAGACCTCGCCATCCCTGGGGGGCTGCGATCTGCAAATCTTTCGCCACTTTCGAGGGCTTGCTGGGGGGGCCAGCGTCGTGGGGGGGCCCTACCGAAACGTAGAATCAATCTCGCCATCCAAGGGACGCGGCGATCTGTGAAACTGTCGCCACTTTCGAGGGCTGCTGGGGGGCTAGCACAATGGGGTGCCTTTCCCAAATTCAGATTCGATCTCACCACCCCTAAGGGGTTGCGATGTGCGAAACTACCGCCACTTCGAGGGCTGATGGAGGGGAACCATCGTGGGGGCCGTGCCCAGACTCAGATCGAGGGCTGCTGGGGGGGGGGGGGGCAGCAGAGTGGGCACCTGCCACACATCTAAATTAGACCAAGCCGTTCCATTTGGGAAGTGCAATCTGGGAAACCGTTGCCACTTTTGAGGGCTGCTGGGGGGGCATCTCTCTTTTCTTTTGAGCGAGGGGAATAAGTAATCAACTCTAAGAAGTTCCATCGATCGGTGTCCTGCGAGTCGCGAAACTCGCGAGCCTCCCAAACAACGCTCGCTGAACATATACTTGCTTGCCACGTTGTCACTTCCTGTAGATTATGCCAAGCGATTCTGGCCGTGCGTTGCGCACGAGTTGGGCACATCATATCGTCAGAGTAATTCGTGACACGGGTCCCCGACCTCTCGACCAGTTCCCCCTGACCGGCTCTTCATCCCGAGTCTTTCTATGAAGGTCCCGAGGCCCGGCAATGGCCCCAAGGGGCCGAAAACGATGCAATCGGCTAGACGCAAGAGAGACCCAGGGTAAGAGTGGCCTTCTGTGCCCGGCTTCTGGGGGGCTCGATGTGGGCCAAACCCAAGCGCGCAGGCCGCTGCTATCGCATCGCGCTCAGCGATCGGGGGGGCCCGATGAGCCCGCACCAAAGGTCACTTCGGCGAAGCAGGGTCACTCTCACGTGCAGTCGATGCAACGCCTCCGTCTCGATGATGGTCGAGACGCCATGTGTCTCGGTTCCTAGATGCCTCCTAGATGGGGTCGGAGTTGATGGGGGTGAAGCTCGCGCCGCATCGCCGATACATCGGCGATGCATCGGCGAGGCATCGGCGATGCACAGGCGATGCATCGTCGACGTCGGCGACGCATCGCGACGTCGACGTGAAGCAATCGGGCTCCGCATCGAGCCGCATCGTCGATGCATCTGCGATGCAGTGCGATCCTCCGACCCGATCTATTGAGCAGGTACCGACCGTCCCGGCATTCCTATAACACCACGCAATGTTCTGAGAGCCCACACATGTTCTAAGAACTTAAAAATGTTCTTATGATATAAGCCCGATGTGCTAAAACAAGACAATATCAGTCAGAACTGCTGTGAGAACACTCCGTGCAGACCCCAAAGGGTTATTCGTGGGCCTATAGGGGAGCCAGGACGCTTCGCCACTGCTTGACATCTACTCCGACCCCAGCCAGGAGGCCCCCGGAGGTCTCGACCCATTCCCCGGGACCGGTTTTACAACCCGAGTCGTTTTGCTGCCGGTCCCGGCCGAACGTAGAGCAAAACCCTCCGACGTGATTTTTCGCATGACTCGAGGGGGCCTGGGTTTCTCGCCACACCATGACGCAACGCCCCGACCGCCCGCGGACGCCCGCGGCGCCGAGCGCCCGCCCGCCTAGAGGAAGAAAAAACCGCATGAACACAAACTTTCGGCGCTCCCGCGGATCTCTTGGATCTGCGCTGGGAAACCCCTCCCTGGCGCGCGGAGCGCGCCGGCGGCGGCGGCGGAGCCGCCGCCAGGAGGGGTGCCCCGCGCGAATCCAAGAAACCCGCGCGGAGCGCCAGAAGTTTACGTTTGTGCCGTTGTTTCTTCTTCGATGGAGCGGTCGGGATCATCGGGCGCCGCCTCAAGCATGCCAGGCCACTCCTTTTTTGGGGGGAGGGGGAGGAGGTTTTTTGGGAGGAGGAGGAGGAGGAGGAGGAGGAGGAGGAGGAGGATCGAGGAGGAGGAGGAGGAGGAGGAGGAGGAGGAGGAGGATCGAGGAGGAGGAGGATCGAGGAGGAGGGAGGAGGAGGAGGGAGGAGGAGGAGGAGGAGGAGGAGGAGCGGTCGGGGCCTCCAGGAGCCTCTGGAGGCATCCGAGGGTGCTCCCCTGGGGAACTCTGGGGGCGTCCGGGGCCAGGATCCTCGGGGCGCGCCTCAAGCCTGCCGGGCCAACCTTTTTGGGGGGGAGGGGGAGGAGTTTTTTTTTGGGAGGAGGAAGAGGAGGAGGAGGGGGAGGAGGAGGAGGAGGAGAGGAGGAGGAGGAGGATGGAGGAGGAGGAGGAGGTAGGAGGAGGATCGAGGAGAGGAGGGAGGAGGAGGAGGAGGAGGAGGAGGAGGAGGAGGAGGAGGAGGAGGATTTTTGCGAGGAGGGGAGTTTTGGGAGGGGATCTGGGGAGGAGGGGCGTGGGGCCTCCGGGGCCCTCCAGCTCTTCGGCTGCCGCCTAGCCCGGCGGCGGCGCCGCGCCCGCCGCGGGGCGGCCTGCCGCCGCGCCGGCGGCGGCCCTCGGCGGAGCGGCCCGGGCGCGGCCCGGGCGGCGGGCGCGCGCCGCTCGCGCGGGCGCCGGGTGCGCTGCGGTAGGGCCCAGGGCCTCCCGAGCGCCGCGGCTGCACAGGCAGAGCGGTTCCTAGGGGGCCACACGCGAACCCTACCCCTACCCCCAGGATTTCTGAGGGGGAGGGTGGGGTTCACTTCGTCTGGGAGCTCCCGAGCGAAGTGAACCCCACCCTCCCCCTCAGAAATCCTGGGGGGTAGGGGCAGGGTTCGCGTGTGGCCCCCTAGTTCCAAGAGCAGCCCGCGCAGACTACAAGAGTCTCTTGGAACATTCCTCTTGGTGGGCCTAAGTAGGCAAGCCAAGACTCGGGAGCGGCCAAGAGGGGGGTGTCCAAGAGGGGGGGTGCTGATCATGACTGGCGGCATGTGCGCGGCCCACAGGGGGGGGCCAGGGACGTAATGAAATAAGAAGAGGCGCCATGAAATCTGGGAAAATATCATGGCCCCCGCCATGATATCCCCCCCCCCCTAGTCATCACCCCCCTCTTTTCCGCCCACGACTGTAGGCAGGCCAAGACGTCTCACCGCTGCTCGAGGCACGGCCGGGCCCGTGGCCGTGCCCGGCCCCCCGTCGGGGCCCCTGGAGGCCGCCTGGCGCGTAGGCGGCGGCGGCCGCCGCAGGCGGGCGCGGGCGAAGCGAGGGTGCGCCGGCGACTGGGCGTCGCTCGCCATCGCTCGGACGTCCATTCCCTGTGTTTTGCTTCGGTTTCGCGCGTGGTCTTTTCGCCAAATGATCAAGGATGCTCCTCGATGGTCCTCGCCGAAGGAAAAATGCACACGTCCGAGCGATGCCAAGGACACCGGGCATGTCCTCCAACAGGCCGATGTTCGACGAAACGTAGAGCATATAGCTTAAAACTGCCCCAGCATGGCGAGAGAAGAACCGTCCCCCGAGTATTTTTTTGACTACTTTTGAGTGCTCCTCCTGTAGAGGCAGAGGGGACACGCCCGACGTAAGGCCAGACCCAGAGGTCCTGACGCTCTAAACAACATTGGAGCGTCCGATTCGGGGCCGTCTTCGGCCTCCCAGGGCCCTCGCCAGGCCTCGGGAGCATCCACGAACGACTCAGGACGATGAGAAGAAGACAATATACGCCGCATACATAAAATGTTCGCGCTCCGCGCGGATTTCTTGGATCCGCGCTGGAAAAACGTCTTCCCTGGCGCGCGGAGCGCGCCCGTGGCGGCGCCGGAGGCGCCGCTGGGGGTCTTTCCGAGACGCGCTTTGGGGGCGCCTTTGACGGGGAGAGCGGGCGCGCCCGCTGTGCCGCCGAGTTCTGCCTCTGCCCGACTTGGCGTGGCTGGGCGCGCCTCGAGACGGCCTAGGCGAGGGGCCAGGCCACGTCGGCAGCCGGCGCGCTGAGGGCGCGCGGGTCGCGGCCCGGCCCCCACTCGCCACAACTCGGGCGCCCAGAGGTCCCGGCCAAGGCAGAGGCCCCCGCCCCTGCCCCTCGGGGGGTAGCTCTGCGCTCGGGGTCCATTCTTGATGGCCCCCGGGGCCCAACCGCGGGCCCCAATGTGGCCGAACTTCGGCCCCAATGTGGCCGAACGGGGATGGAAGGACAGAATCGTAGGATTTGGAGGCCCAGAATTGGTACGGAAAACATGAGTACGATGCCCAACAAAACACATGCTGTCCAAAACCGGCGGCGGCCGCAGTTGCACAGGCCGCCTTCTGCCTAAAATGGGCCACGCCCGCGGCAGCGCGGACGGCGCGCCCTGCTCATAATGAGCAGGAGCAACTGCTGGGCAACGTGCGCACTCTTTCCGTAGCCACGTGTCGTTCGCAGAAAAGAAACAACGGCGTAAACAGCAACTTGTGGCGCTCCGCGCGGCGCCAAAAGCTTCTGTGTAGGTCGTTTTCTCTTCCTCGTGATGGGCCTGTTTTCCACCGCCACCACCACAAGTTGGAGGGACAAAGGAGGAGGACGACGAGGAGGAGGAGGAGGAGGACGAGGAGGAGGAGGAGGAGGCGGCGGCGGTGGAGGACGAGGAGGAGGACCCATCACCTCGAGCTCGTGCCGACAGGCGCTCCGGGCTGCGAAGCAGCCGCGACGGTCGGAGGCCCTGGGGCGAGGCCGGCCGCGCTGCCGCTGGCCGCCCCCGCCGCGGCGGGCGCGTCCAGCGCGGCCGGCGGGGCGGCGGGCCGCTGGCCCTGCCGCCGGAGCCGGGGCATCCGCAGGCGCCGCGTCGGCGCCGGGAACGGCACCTGACGGGGAGCAGCAGATCACACAAGCTGTACCAAGGGCGTGCAGTCATCGTCTTCCTCCTCCTCCTCCTCCTCCTCCTCCTCCTCCGCCTCCGCCTCCTCCGCCTCCGCCTCCTCCGCCTCCGCCTCCGCCTCCTCCTCCGCCTCCGCCTCCTTCCTCCTCACCTCTCCTCCTCTGCCTCTCCTCCTCTTCCTCCTCCTCCTCCTCTCCTCCTCTCCTCCTCCTCCTCCTCCTCCCTCCTCTCCTCCTCTTCCTCTTCCTCCTCCTCCTCTTCCTCCTCCTCCTCCCTCCCCCCCCCCCACATGTAGAGCCTGTGGCAGGGTCATCAGCTCGTCGTTGTCGTTATTGTCGTGGTCGTCGTGGTCGTCGTTGTCGTCATCGTCGTCGTCCTTCTGGGTCGGCGGCACTGGCCGCAAGGCCTTCACAGTCATACCAGCTACCAATGGCGTGCAGTCCTCAAGCTACCACGAGGAACGTTGAGTAAGGAACGAAGGGTTTTTTCTGGCCACGGCGAGCCTCGGCCACGGGCAAGTTCGCCGAACCAAATCTGGGGATCGCCTCGAAAATCAGAGCCCCTCCGGAGCGCAGCGTCTTGACCGCAGCTAGTTTAAAGCGCTTCCTCTCCCAGCCCCCTTCTTCCCCTTCGGTGCCTGGGCTTGCCCCTCCCCCCCCCACCTCTGGCTCTGGAGGGGGGGAGTCGCGAGCAGTCAGAGCGTCCCTCCTGGCGCACGATGGCTCCAAGAGGGCCTTGAAGAGGCCCAAAGGCCTCCAAGATGCTCCAGGAGGCCCCTAGACCACTACAAGACGGGTCCAAGTGGCCATGGAGCTTCCCCAGGACGCCTCCAGGAGTTCAAGATCAATCCACAACCTACGGGACATCAATGTTTTTGGCCTTCGCGCCTCTTCGGTTCCTAAGCATCGTTCCTGGATGGACGGCGAGGGCGCCCACAGCGTCAGCAGAGTTGGCTCGGGCTACGAGCAACCTAATTGCCGGCGCGCGCGCCGAGCAGGGCACGACCTACCGCCGGGGGAAGCGGCCGCGCCGGAGCTGAGCTGCGCGGAGGGTGAGGACTGCCTGCTGCGGAGGCTGCCAGGATGCTGCAACGTGCGAGTACCATGGGGGCTCTGCTGGTGGGGATACGCGAAGCGACGAAACATTGAATGTCGCGCGGGTCATCAGCATGCTTTCTGTGAAAGAACCACCTGCTTTCTCCCAGCCATCCTGTGGTGTCGGGCCCTCATCTGGAATCCGCAGCGCCCCGCGTCCTCATCCACTCTCTCCTCCCCCTCCTCCGACGGCTCCCAACTTCGCGCTTCGCGCTGCGCGAAGCGCGAGATGCGAATAACTTCGCGCTCTTGCGACGCCTCCCAGGGGAGAAGAGGAGGATGAGGAGGAATCGGAGCCGAACCGCGAAGCGCGAATAACTCCGCGCCCTCGAGACCGCCCTTGCTCCTCCCTCCTCCCATCCGTGCTCTGCCCACACGCTTGTGCTGACCCCCCCAAGACGCCTCGCAGAAGGCCCCCGTGGCAGGGTTCGCATGCCAGCGCCGCGGCAGCTTCGGCACACCCCTCGCACGCCTCGCGGCCACATCGGGAGGTCCACCGAATGCCCCAGCGACAGGCTCCGCAAGGCGGCACCGCACCCCGTGTCAGCACGCACACCCCGTCACGCGTCCCGTGGCACCAAAACATAGGGTTAAGACGGGCCTGTCCCCCTACAGGGGGATTTTCGACGAAAAATTAAAAACACCTCAAAACAATCCAAAAATGATCTAAAAATGGTCTGGGGATCATTTTTTGCATATTTTGTTGTCCTTTTGGGGGTATTTTTAGGGTATTTGTTTTTTTTCCGTCGGAAATCTCCCTGTAGGGGGACACGCCCGACATAAACATAGGGAGTTCCGCCGGAGGCCCCGGCGGCACGGTTCGCACGGCGGCACCGCGTCCACTTCGGACCCTCCCGCTCTCTCACGTCTCGTGGCCACCATCCGTACTGCCCTGGGTCCCATCCTTCTCGCGGCGTGCTGCTCATGAGGAGAGGGCCATATGCCGCGATACTCGCAGCTGCACATGGTAGGGTCCGTCACCGAATCACTGGTACGACGAGCGAACGAGTCAACACGGACAGCTGGAAGCATGACGCGCGTGCCACTGGCACTCTTCTCCCTCCCGAACCTGCGCCTGACCACAGAACATCGCCGGCTTGTAGATGTCGGGGACCTCCGAGTGCATGATCGGGCTGTTCCTGTAGCGCTCCACCAGCTCGCCGAGGCCCTGGCAGTACTGGCTCCAGGTGGCCTCGCAGGCACGGCCCCCCCCTGGGCGGCGCGCGGAGAGGGGGCTGGGGGGAGGGGGGGACTTCTCAGAAGGAGGCGCTGCTTCTTAGAAGGCGCCGGCCTTACCTCCACAGACAAGGCCCGCGCCTTCTATTGGCGGTGGGCAGACCTCCGTCCGGCAAGCCTCTCCTTCGTGAAAGCGGCCTGGGACCGAAACCGACGGACCTGGACCTGCAAAAGCGACGGCCGCGACGCCCGCTCGCGAGCCGAAGACGGCCAAGTCGCTCATCGACGCGTCAGGATAGGAGGTCCATCGACCTCCGGTTCGAAAAGAGGCAGGGGTGCTCCTAAGAAGCCCCTCCCCCCTCCCCCTGCCCCCTTCTGCGCGCCGCCGGGCCCGCGGCCCCCCACGACGCGAAGCCGCCGAAGAGCTCCAGGGCCCGCAGCGCCTCTGCGTGGCTCCGGAGGTTCACCAGCGCGTGGCCGCAGCCCGTGCGCGTCCGCAGGTCCAGGGGCAGATAGATGAAGTCGTAGCAGCCCGCGAAGCCCTGCGTGTCCAGCACCTCCAGGATCGGGCGTTGGCAGAACGGGGTTCAGTGGGACCTGGCTTGGTGATGCGTGTCACTGGGGGGCGCGCCCCCCCCCCGCCCCGTTCCACGAAGGGGAACTGCCATCGCCCGGAAAAGCACCAGCTGCGGCAGACCTGGTTCAGTGATTCTGGCCAGTTTAGAGGCTCCGGGGCCCTACTACTAACCGGGTCCCCTTACCCTGGTTCCTGGCTACACCGGGCAAGAGAAGACCGAACTTCGTAAGCCGAAGCTTCCGGAGGTCCGCGCGGCTTTCTTGGGTCGGCGTTGCACCCACTTCTCTGGCGCGCGGAGCGCGCCTTTTTCTTTCTTTCTTGCTCATGGGGGCCAGATCCAAGGGGGCACACTGAACTCGCGACGCTATAACTAAACAGCGAAACCTCTAGGCTGCCCAAAGGGTTGTTCCCTGAGGAGGCTTATCCTACGAAGCCGGCCAGGGGGGTCCAGCGCCGATCCAAGACATCCGCGCGGAGCTTCGAAATTGACGGTCAGGAGCCAGCCCCGGCGACACGCTGTTCCTATAGCGAGTGGATGGCGCGTCGCTCCGCTCCGCGGGGAGCGGCACGCTCGGGAAAGCCGGGGGCCTTGCTGCCTGGGGACAAAGGCGTGGATGACGTGTCGCGCCAAAACGTGGTGGGCCTGAACCAGCGGCGACGCGCTATGCTATATCGGGTCGGGCGAAAGGGGGGGATAGCAAAGGGGGGGGGTGAGAATCAGCTCACGCAGCTGATTTTCCCGGCGCCTCCCGGCGCCGGAGGCGGCCATGTATCGAGGAATGGGCCCCTCGGTGAGGCCGAAAGCATGCAGCAGATGTCGTACCCCCCCTTTCCCAGTACCCCCCTTTCGTCCGGCCCGACAGGCCTGAAGGGGCCCTGGGACACACAAATAGATACACACAAATAACAGGATTCCCCATATCTTCTAATCTTTCCTGGGTTTTCGTCTTCCCCCCCACTTCCCACATTTTCGCCGATAGATTTTCCTGGGAGCCGACGACTCCTTGTGTCTGTGTGTTCTTTCTCCTCCCGACAGACCCCTCCCGGGGCCCGACCCGACTGAACCAGCGGCGACGCGCTGTCCCCAAACTCCCGGCCGTACCACTCTGGTTGTTCCTGGGCCCTAAATTCGGCTCTCCGGCGGCCGTCCGCGACGATCGGGCCCCCCCCTGGAACGCTTTTTCGACGAGGCGCAGCCGATGGAGAGAGCCCCGAGGCTGGAAAGCCGCCGAGAACAGGCGACAACGTCGGAACACCTCGAAAATATCAACCCTCGAGCTGAACTATGCAGCTTCTGGCTCTTCGAGCACTTCCCTCAGCATCAGCCGCGTGCAGTCCCTCGGCAGCTCCCGCAGCTGGATGCTTAGGGGGACGAAGAACGGCACAAACATAAAACCTCGGAGGTCCGCGCGGCTTCCTCGCATCGGCGCTGGGCCCCCCTCCCTGGCGCGCGGGGCGCCCCGGGGGCGGCGCCGGGGGCGCGCCGCTGGGGGTGTCCAGCGCCGATCCGAGAAATCGGCGTAGACCTTCGAGGTTTTATGCTTATGCCATTCGTCGTTCCCCTGATGTCGGGTGTTGCTAGAAGTGCCCCTGGCCCAGGGTGCCCCCAGGACTCTCAGGGTGGCCCCAAAATGGAGCGAAAAGCTGGGGGCACCTTGGGTTATGTCGGGCCTGTCCCACTACAGCAGGATTTTCTGCGAAATCAAAAAATACCCCCAAAATACCCCAAGAACCAAATAAGTAAAGAAATACTCAAAAAATAGTCCCCAAACTATGTTTGGACCCTGTTTTGGCTATTTTTGGGGTTTATCTTGTATTCTTCGTCGACAGTCCCGCTGTAGGGGGACAGGCCCGACACAACCCAAGGTGCCCCCAGCTTTTCGCTCCGCTTCGGGGCCCCTGGGGCCCACTGGGCCTCGTGAGGGGTGCCGCGGAGGCCGTCTGGGCCAGGGGCGCTTCTGGCAACGCCCGCTGATGGTGGTCCGCGCCGCCGAGGCCTCTGCGCCGGACGCCCCGCCGCTCGAGGCCGAGGGCGTGGCGCCCCAGCCGGGCGCGGCCTGCGCCTCGCCCCGGCCCGCCCCCGCGGCGCAGCGCTCCCGCGCGGCGCTGCAGTCCTGGAGGCCCTCCTCCCTGCTCCTCTGCTCCCTGCTCCCTGCCTCCTCCTCCTCCTCCTCCTCCTCCTCCGCCTCCTCCTCCTGCTCCTCCTCCTCCTCCCTCTCCTCCTCCTCCTCCTCCTCCTCCTCCTCCTTCCTCCTCCTCCTCCTCCTCCTCCTCCTCCTCCTCCTCCTCCTCCTCCTCACTCCTCCATCTTCCCTGATCCTTCTCCTTATCTCTCCGTCCGGCGCTTGGGGGGCCCGAGGCGGAAGTCCACGCCTAGGACCTCTCTTCTCGGTGGCGAAGAGGGGAAATCATTCTTCAGGGAAGCCATGCAGTCCAGAGCCTCGTCCACCCCGTGGTCTACGTGCAAAGCCTTTGGACGCAGTGAGTGGAATTCTCTTCTCCTGGAGCGAGATCGCAGATGCCAGAAGTGCGGACGCCAGGTCAAGCTCTATCAGGGAAAGAAAAGTGGTGGCAGTGATAAAGACACGTACTCCGATGCAGCTAACATGCAGTTGGTTCTGGCTGGGGCAGGTGGTGCTCTGCAAGCAGTTGCTTCGTCCAAGGCGTCCGCGATCGAGAGCGCCCTGGCAGTGGTGACAGACCCCATGATCAAGCAGGCCCTGACCAGCCAGATCCAGGTCCTCAGGAACGAGATGCGGGCCGCGGAGGCCAGTTCCTCTCCTGAGGAGGCAGCGAAGAAAGCTGACAGTGCAGTCAGAGACGCAACTACCAAGCATGACCAGGCCTTCCATGCCTTGCTGCGCGCCGGGGAGAACTTGGCTCGCGCCGAGGCTAAGGAGGCAGAGTTGGCTATCACACTGGCCACGGCGCAGGAGTCCAAGCGGCTAGCTGTGCAGGCCCTCGCGTCCAAGGTCGGTGTCATTCCGCACGACAAGCCCGCAGAGCAGAAGGACAGCGACACGCTGTTCAGTCTCTCTTGGGATGAGGACTTCTTCGCGAAGATTGATACCTTGGAGGCGGAGGCCAGCGAGAAAGAGGTGTTGCGCAAGCTCGAAGCTGACCTCAAGGCGGCTCGAGCCCATTTGAGCACGAAGAACTCCGAGGTGGTCTCCTGGCTCACGCGCGCGAAGGAACTGCAGCAGCAGATCGAGACCAGGTACATGAAGAAGCGGAAGGGAGCTGACGGCGAAGCTCAGGGTGCTTGTGCTGCTGACAAGGGGAGCGGCAAGGGCACCCAGGGCACGACCGACGGCAGCAGCGGCAGCGGGCCCAGCGGCGGCCCTCCCGCCGAGGACAAAGCAGCTCAGGCGGCGAGGATCAAGGAGGCGGCCATGAAGATCACGGCGGCCAAGCAGGCAGCGGCTGAGGCGGCGGCGCAGGCGGGGCCCCCAGCCGCCGAGGCGGCGGCGTGACCGCCAGAGAGGGGCCCCGCAGGAGGCGCCGCTGCGGGAAGTACGCCACCAATAGGCCCAAGGGGATCAGGAAATGGTTGTGCGCAGTCGGGTGCTGATGGTGCTGGGGAAGAGCTGGCTACTGCATCCAAGAGTGGCACAGACAGTTTCTTCTTTTTCGGCAACGTCACAACTATGGGTCGGCAGGCATGGGATTTCTTGTCAGGTCCAGCTTGCAGGCCATTCCACTATTTCGGGATCGCTGAGACACACGTCGAGAGTGGGAAGGACGTGCAACATTGGCGAGAGCAGGCAAAGAAGCATCAGTTTAAACGTATCATCAATCGAGCCCGAGCTAAAGGGCGGGAGCAGTCAGAGAGTACTCGGAGCAAGGCGAACGAGGGTGGCGAATGGCTGATGTGCCGACAGCACCTTCAGATGCAGAGCCTCAGCGAGTCCGACGCTGTTCTTCGCGACCTACGGGCGACGGGTTCGACAGCGCTGGACGGGTTCAGCGCAGCCATAATTCACATGCGCGGCTACTCGCTGGTGGCCATCACTTTTTACGGGTTCTGTTCCGACGGATTCGCAGGCAGGAACCTCACTAGATATGCTAAGCTCGGCGCGTTGGTTTCACAGCTACGTCTACCGTGGTTCATAGTGGGGAACTTCAATCTTGAACCAGAGGAGCTCGTTCGGCGAGGGTTTCTCAATCAGATCGACGGGGCTATCTACAAGCCGAGTGGCGTTTTGGCAACTTGCGAGACGGGGAAAGGGGCTTTGCTCGATTTCGTGATTGCGAGCCAGTCGTGCGTTCCGTACATCGTCGGGGTGTCTTCCATCTTATCAGTACCATGGAGACCACATAGTGCAATTCTCGTTCGGCTCCGATCGTCTGGGGCCAAGTTACTCTGTCGAGAACTTGTCACGCCAGGTCGATTACCCCAGGTGCCTCGTCCAGGAGTCGCTCCTACACCAGGGTCAAAATCGAGTCGGTCCAGAGCTGAGCGAAGTCAAAAACGCGAGGTTGCTAGGCAGCGAATCTCTGAAGCTTCTGAGGCTTTGTTCGGGGATCTTACAGCTGAGCCCGAGAGAGCCCCTTTTGAGCTGGACGACGGTCTGTCGGACGGCGAGTCTGACGCCGAGTATGACTTAGTCTCACAGTCTTTTTTCGGTGACACGGCAGACGCCGTTAGCTCCGCCCCCGCTGGCAGCAGTAGCAGTGACTCTGTGCGCGAGCCCAGTGGCCAGGCAGATAATACCGCGCTGGAAAAGGATGTCTTGGGGACGTATAAGGAGGACTCAGCCTCTGGAGCCCCCCCCCCCCCCCCCCCCCCCCCCCCCCCCCCCCCCCCCCCCCCCCCCCCCCCCCCCCCCCCCCCCCCCCATCGGCAACCCATAATTCAGCAGACCTCCCCTCTTTCCATATTCCCTCCGATCTTTGGCAGTCGCGCAGAAGGTAGGTCGGGTTCGCGTACTCCGTTGAGCAAGACGTCTGGCCGATTGTACGCAAGTGTGCTGCTTACGCTGCCGGGGGTCAACATGTTTGCCAACTGGGGGCCTTGCACGGGTCTTGGGCGTCCACGGTTGAGCAAGCGATTTCACAGCATCATGGGGTACAACTTGCTGCAGGTACCACGAGATCTCAGGGGCCCTTCTTTCGGGAGGTGGAAATGAAGGCTCCAGATAAGGCTCGTGATCAACCTCTGCGCGACGTCGTCGCCAGCTGGTGGGGGCGTCCTGCTACGGTCCTGGGCTCCATTAGCAAGCATAGGTCTAGACGGAATGGTGCAGTACAGCAGGCACAGCTCGTTCAAGCATGCATCGCCCGCGCTGGGGGCCAACCTGCAGGGGTGCACGTTCCTATAGAGCATGCCAGGTCAATCAACGATGAAGGGGGGCTCTCTACATGGTCGGCATGGCAGGCCAAGCTTTTTCGAGTGGCCACTCTTTCAGATGCAGCTGTTGAGCGGCTAGCTCACACAGCCAAGCGAGTCGCAGGTCGAGCACGACGGCGAGCTCTTGATTCTTCATTGCGTGAGCTTCGAGAATGGATCACTACGTCGGAGGCTCCTGGGATCTTGCACAAATCCATTAAGAAGCTCCCCCCCTGTCCCCGACGAAATCCAGGTCGACGGGAAAACGCTTTTTCACCCACATCGTGGACCACAAAACCAAGCATTGGCACGAGCTCTGGAGCCCGAAGCCGTTGCCACTATCTGACGTCACGGCTCTCTTCCAGGATATCCGAGAGGCGGCAGCTGTGGAGCAGCTCGAGCCCTTGTCAGTCGAGCGCGTCCAGCGCGCCTTGCACTCCATGAAGGCCAAGGCAGGACTCGGGGTTGACAACCTCAGCCCCACTGATATGGAACGTCTTCCCCCCGAAGGGATTCAAGAGTTGGTTTCGGCGCTGGGGGCCTTTGAGGAGTGCCTTTCCTGGCCCTGGCAAAGTTTGCTCGTCATTGGGCGCCTCCTGGGGAAGAAGAATGGGGGGGGCAGGGTCATTGGACTCATGTCTATGTTTTCCAGGACTTGGTCTCTCACCCGAGAGGACGAGGTTAGGTGTTGGTCTAAGGACTCGGAGCCAGCCTGGGATGCTGCCATCTCGGGCAACTCCGCGCCCCGAGAAGTTTTTTTGCGCGCTCTTCACGATGAAGGGCTTGCTCGGTTCGGCATCGCGTTCGGAGAGGGCCTCTTGGACATCAAGGGGTTTACGACGCAATGGGGTGGATTCCACTGGCTAGATCTGCTCTCATGACGGGGTTCCCACCGGTGGTCCTCGCCTTGGAGCTCCAGATGTGTCTGGCCCCTCGTGTGCTCTCGCAACTTGGGTCTTTCTCGGCAGCGCTCCAGCCGCGGCAGAGCACCATCCAGGGCCTTCGCAGCGGGACTAGATTCAGGAGATGTATGGTGTACTACATTTTGATGCGGCTGACTACCACATGTCAACATGTCATATCGTGTTTGGGTCGATGACTTGACGCAGCACACGGCTGGCACGCGCAAGCTGGTTCGGAATAGGCTGTTTCACAGTGTGCTCGACACCTGCTGCACGCTCAAGGGGCACGGCCTCCAGATTGCTAGCAAGAGCGTGATCTTGTGTTCTAATGCGGCAGACGGCAAGGAGGTTGCGCGTCGGCTTCGCAGGAAAGGTTTTGTTTTGCAACACGCCCTTCAAGCCGTTCATCTCGGGGTCGACTTGGGAGCGGGGCGGCCCGCAAGGGCCATGCGTCGGCAGCGAGTTGTCAAAGCCAAGAACATGAATATGAAGGTTCGGAGGTTCGCTCGGTCGTCCAGGAAATATCGTGCCACGGGGCGCATCGAGAGGACTGGGCCTCAAGCGGCTGGTACGTACGGACATCAGATCACTGGTGCTTTTGGGGAGTTTCGGTTACAATGTCGTCGGCGACTAGGATGTGCACTGGCCTCCTCTAAGCGCGGGCGGTGCCTCGCTACTTTGCTGGACCTTCGTGCCGAGGGGCACGATCCAGAGTACAAGTTACCTCGTGATGGGCTTCAGCTTTGGTTGAAGACGTGGCTGACCGAGCCCGGCATTCGAGGCCCAGTGCGTGCTGCCTGGGCTTGTGCAACAGCTGCGGGATCTTGCACCGCAGCAGGTTTCACGGCACGTTCGGGGCCCCATCTCGTCCATCATCGCTCAT